ACTGTGGAATTCTGAACCTGCAGTGTTGACCAAAGAACACAATAGAATTTCAGTAATTAACACACTTCATTATTCATAAATATATGTGGTAAATAAAAAATAAATAAAATGCACAATTAACTATCTATCCTAGAGTTTCCATGTGAATAGATGTTTGTGAGTAATGTGTAATATGGCTCGGTAAATTCAGTTAGTGTGGCAAAAACTAAATACTTTTAATTTGAAACTTGTCTGGAGATCTTCATACAGTAATTTTATTTTGGCTAATATATTGCTAATTATTTCATAAATATCTTTAATGTTGGCACAAAACAAGATTAAAATAAAAATTGAATACCTGTATCAGCATTGCTGCTTCTCACAGAGAAAAAACAGAGTCGCGCCAGATGAGAACAAACATCCTTGATGCTTGAGACGTCAGTCTCTCTCCACAGGACAAACTTTGTACTAAAATGCAATAAACAGCAGGGAACTGAACCAAAGGAAACTCCACAGTTAATCATCATCATCCTGTCAGTTTATTCTGTAGTTTCTAGACTAACACACTTTGTGCAGGGCTTTGACCACTTTCTTTTATGGTAAAGCACTTTGTGCTCAGTTCTTGAAACATTCTGTATCATTGAATTTATCACAATAATCTTTACAACAAGAGCACAAGAACAATTATCTATAATCCAGCCATGTTCCAGGGCCCCTGTCCAATGTTTAAGCCCTCTGAACCTATTTTCTGCAGCAACTGAGACAAGTAAAGACTATTCTCTTAACACACAAGACTGATATTTTTAGCAAACATTTAATTAACATTTAATTAATAATATCATTTATATCACAGATATGTCAGTATCGGCGCATATTTTCCGATATGTGCTGATATGAATACTTATTTAATAAGAGAAATAATGCAGATGGAAATGCTCGGGTCAAGTCAAGTTATATAGGCAGCATTTATGTTATATATATGATCTTTTGTTTCATTCAAGTATATATAATATATTTACATATTTGTTCTTATGTTTTTTATTTATACTTTATTAATAAGTCAATAATAATTCAAAGTTATTTTTATAGTTAATTTATTTAATTCCCAGTGAAATTTACCGCTTCAGTGCACTGATGTCATTTTGGAAAATAAAGTTTTATTGTTAAACTTTAAAATATCCTGCTTTCATAAAATATCTTTTTCACAACTGTTTTATATATATATATGTATATCAGCCACATATAATATCTGAATTCTTTTACTCTCTAATATCGGTATCGGCATCAGCCCAAAAATCAAATACCGGTCAGACTCTACACAAAAGGCCCCCAAAATTAGGTGACATGTCAGTGAATGAAGTAGTACGTGAATATCTGGTCAGGTGTGGGCTTCTGACTCAGAGCTGAAGGGAGAGCAAATATAAAAAGAGCATTAAGAAGAGTTTGTCGATGAAGCAGAGTCAGCATGGAGGTCATTATTGGCTTCAAATTGGATTATAAGATATTGTGTTAAATATTTTGAACAGCCACTAAGTCTGAGGTATGGCAGGAATGTTATTAGGAGAAAATCTGTCACTGTTGTTTCAGTTCCACCAGAGGACGACATAAGCCAAACATTACATTTTTGCCTCATTAAAGGATTAGTTCGTCCAAACCACACATACAATAAAAAATAAAAAATTCTGTCATTAGGTTTCATAAAGACCCAGGCTTTTAACAGCTGGATCACATTTGAATCAAATTACACTTTTGACATCAAAACCAGCAGCAACAGTGAAAGAGCACGGTATCACAACACAGAGTCCAGCCTCTTATCTTGTTTCGGCTTCACTAAGAGTGATACAGTAATAAGTGAATTGGCAGCGTTGTTTTCCTCCAGGAGAGGAACCTGTTCATGAAAAGTATCTACATTAATCCAGTAGTTGATGTATGAGGTCGACATTGTCTCATCCAGTGTTATCAGAATCCTCTCTGATTGATGCAAAACTTATATCATTCCTATATTGAACATCCAACTTTTTTTTTCAAAATTTGGTAAATTAATTCTTAAATTAAAATTTTATTTAAAACCAGTCTATCCCAGATTATCCCCTGAAAATGATTAGATGTTGTCGATCATCCTAATTTTAACACTCTACAACCAACAAGAACAGAAAAAATACTTATATGTGGAGCTTGAATTGACATTTGTTTTTTCAAAATATTTCAATTTAGCACTTAAAGTGTTGTGAGCAGCTTCAAAAGATAAATATTGGAAGCATAACAATATCACAGTTACACATTGTACCTGCATCAGCACTGTTGCCTCTCACAGAGAAGAGCAGAGTCGCCCAGATGAGAACAAGCATCCTGATTCAAAGCTGAAGACGATCGGTCTCTCCCTCCACAGGGAAAACTCTTCATTTCACAAACACACAAAAAAACAACATATAAGAAGTTCAGGTGATGAAACTGAACCAGCGACACCTTCATGGCTGACTGTACATATTTAAATACAGGATGTTGCATGTTTAGCGATTCCGTAGTTACATTAATACATTTGGCTCAAATCTTCTGTAGAGTTGTAAGTCCCCTGAAATATTTATTTTTTTATTATTTCCCCCATCCTTGATTTTCCCAACTGATAAATAAATTAAAAAAAACACACATTGTATTACAGTAGTTAGGGAAGGGTGAATATACTTTTTACAGTTTCCATTAACAATTTTAAAATGATTTAGTGTTACCTCTTTCTGTCTCTTCACTCCTCTGTGATCTCTGCTCGGTGTCTCTGCTCTGAACTGACTCTACTTCTCTTCTTCCTCCTCTTGTACCTCTTCCCTCTTTGCACTACAACAAGTTTGCAGGAAGTTTCTCTAAACACTGCTGGCTGTTACTTCCTCTCTCATTAGACTACCACGTTTACAGCTAAAACTTCTATATCACATTATACACAATATAGTTGAGAAGGTGCAGCTTAAACACTCGATGAAATGAAACAACACGTTATTTTTTAAAGTCTGAAGAAAACAAGTATCCTGGTACAATGCACAACACACATAGAGGGATGTTCATGACTGAATGGTGTGTATTACTGGCTCATATCTGCAGTGCCACTTATAATAACGAATGTCAATAACTGAGTCATTAGTTTAATCATTAGTTTATTCATACATGAAAAAAGACAACCCTGTCAATGATTAGGTGCATTAAATACCTGCAGATTCAAAAAGAAATGATCTGGGTTCATCCGAGTTCTTTATATGAACTGCATAAAACCTTGTGGTAAGAACTTTTGCATTTGAAACAGTGTTTCTTTTTTGGTTCAATGGTGTATTGTGCAAAGTCTTTCAAAGCTGCGTTCTCAGAGAGGTGGATCAAGCAATTAGTCATCTTACTTTGCCTAATATGGCATCACTGGATTCTGTTTAATAACTTCCTTTTCACACACATAGATATTAACGGCCATTTTAGCCACAAACTATAGCTGTCCTTATCAGTTACTGATTCAACACTCACTGAACTGTCACAGAACCTGTAGATATTGCAAAATATATGAAAAGCTTAAAAACTGACAACTCAATGGGTTAGCTCCAAACATAAACAAATGTATTTTCTGTTAAAACATAAAACCTGCTTACTTAGTACTGAGAGTCAACCTGATTTTTAACACATTTTTCAAAAGGGGAAGTAATCCATGACCTGCTGAAGAGCAGCAGCTTTAACAGAGCTATAGAAGCAAATTAGCTTGAAATAACATGATAAAATGAAGATTATTAAAACTGACATTGCACTGATCTGTAATCCCTAAAGGCATAAAATACAAATAGCTATAGGCAACTGAAATGTCATTACCATCCACCCACTGCAAATCAGCAAGAAACAAGGAAACTGATATTGGGTATATATTCTAGGGACACCTTCTTGATTTGTCAAATTCAGACCGCTGAAGTCTCATTAACTCCATCTTGTAATGCTTACTTTGCAGAGAATGAGATCAGTAGATGACACTGCGTACAATGGAACTACTCTAGGAAGGGATCTTACTCTTTCAGTGTACTGTATATAATCTAATCTATATCATGTCTGTACAAAGTTTGAAGGCAGTTTGTTCAATGGTTTCGATTTTTTAGTCTGAATCAAGGTGGCGGACGGACTGACATTTATTACCAAAAACAGATAACCACTTGGACCAAAAGGGCACAACATACTACAGCACAATAACACTTGAATGAGGAAATTCTGCCCAACTTCCAGTCCACCTTGAGTCAAATGAGTGCAGATGCATAGCACCAAAAATGTAGAGGTGTTACGTATCTCAGTCACAGTTTATCACAAGCTGAATTTGGCTTTTGAAGATCACAGCGCTGGTGGTGTTAATCCATTACATCTGATGAGAGCAATGACACTTTATCTTCAGGCATTTCCAAGACACAATCCTTACATCTCACCCATTATATCCTTTACATTGGAGTACACCGCCATGTCCTCCCCTTCCTCCTCTCCTGGGACACAGCATTTTGTCTCCTCATCCTCCTCCTTCATGACCCTCTCCTCTTTCCCCTCCAACATTTCACCTTCTTCTCCACCGTCGTCTTCTCTTTCCTCTTTTACTTCTTTTTTGATTTCAGCATACTCTGTCTCTGCGGTCTCTTGTTTCTTTGCCGCCTGCCTGAGACTCCTTCTTTTCAACAGTGAGAAGTCAATGCTGGCGTACTCCACGTCTTTTGGCCCAGTGTCCAGTACAGGGGCTGTTTTCTCTGCTGCCACAGCTGCATCTTCAGCTCCCTTTCGGCCGTGGGTCTGATCATCTTCTACTGCTTGACCATCATGTATCTGCCAGGTACAATGTAAATGATATGACTGATTCAGCAGCTGCTACAAGCCCAAAAACTCTACACTATGCATTAACTCTCTCTGTCTGGGATATTTTGCATTGCTGCCAACTATTCTTTTTAAGTCATAGCCATGTTTCTGTTCCTCCCGGCTACAGCTTGAGTCTTTTCACTTATGTATGTATCTGCTTTGTGTGATGGTTAGATTACTGTTATATGGTCATCCAGAACAGTCTTTTCAAATCAGTCTATTTAAAAGTGCATTGCAAAGCAACAAAACGGGAACTCTGACCATAGAAGAAGACATGGTGTCGACTGTGATAAAATAAACAGTATCTCAAGTTTGCAGGTCTGCAACTTTCAGCGCTCTGCAACTTGATTTTCATGTAGGAAATGAATCAAGCATAGATATACATAAAGTTATGCTTGCATGAGTTGATTGACATGAGCTGCTTCATTTAGACTTCACCATCAGTGGCTCATTCATCAACTGCTTGGCTACAAGCTGACTAATGACGTCCAGTCATATTAATGCAGGTGTACAAAGCAGCATTTAAAACCTGACCCTTGTCACCATTACTCAGCTGATGCTGTACCTCCCTTCACCACACCAACCTCCTCCTTATGTGCTGCATTACTGCAGGGTTTCATGTCGACGTATGTTAAAAGTTTGTTAAGAGGGGATTGGTTCATATAACAGACTCTCTGTTGCTGCTCAGAGTCTTTGAGAGCTCACTCCAAGAGAAGCGCCTTCTCTGTACAATGCAATTGTGTTGTCGTTTGGTAATTATGGTTGGTTCCCTGAATAAAGTGTCTGTGACTGAAACGGAAACCACATTCACACGTCTAAAATAAAAAAACACAAAGTTCTCCATAATGGTCAGCAGTACTGCTATCTGTACATTATTTGTAAAAAATGGACTAAACATGCACATGGTTGTTTAAGAAAGAGATAGGGAGTATCTCAAACCATTAACTGATATATATACTATAAGATGAATCAATATAAATACCAGTGGATCCTCTTGACTGGTCACCATCTCCACAGTCTCATCCAGATTTCCAGAGTTCGCTTTTTTTCTGAAAAAAAAGAAGAGTAAACGTAATTAAACAGCAAGATATTTACATGTATAATTATCCACTAAGAAAACCTAAGAAATAATTAATCAAATTAATAGTGCACCTGTGGCATTTTTTTGCGAAACAGCAGATGATTGCTGAAAGAAGAACACCAATCAAAAAGGCAATGATGGTTTCCAACCGTGAAATACTTTTTAATAATGGATTGGATGGTTCTGCAATCAGAGGGAACAAAAGAAAAAATGTTGATGCCCATGTGTTTCTGAACAATTATATACATGCGAAAGCTTGCCCAATATGTGTCTGAACAAAAGAGGTAAAATAGGTCATAAAAACGTCATAAAGCAGTGGTCTATGGTAGCAGTGTTGTGGTTGAGAACATGTACCACCTTGTGTGATAGAGTTTTTTTGGATGTTGAGGTTCATCTTTGCTTCCCCATTTTCATTGCCGCTGACACAGTCAACAACAGTGTTGCTGGGATCTTTTACAGTGAGAATGACGGTGCTGTTGACTGTGTGGTTTGTCACAGTGGTAATGACTGAGTACTCAGTGTAGTTCTTCAACAGCGGCCATTTGATGGTGGGTAAGGGAATCCCCTCAGTGATACACACACAGGTCAGGAGCTCCGACTGAACCTCACATCTAGAGTTTTTTGAGATCTTTGAAAACCCTGTAAACACACAAGCAGGATCACAACATCACAACAATATGCTGACAGATTAAAATGTGAACATAAACCTCCTTCTCAAAAAGATTAGTACAGTCTACTTACAAGTCACTGTCACATCAGCATAAATAGTCACATTCGTGTCCAGGTGTTTTGCTGTACAGACGTACTGTCCAGAATCTTCTGCGGTCACATTAGGGATGAGAAGTCTGGCAGATCCAGTGTTGCTCTGCAGGTTAGTTCCATTGTGCAGGTTTGTATTGAGGCCAAGTTTAGTCCATGTAATAAGAGATGGAGGGAAACTTTCAAGGCTGCAGGTCAGATTCAGAGCACTTCCCTTCTTAACAGTTGTATCCCCAGTGATCCCAGGTTCTCTCATATCTGTGAAGCACATTTTAAACATACATACATTTGAGCTGAATATAAAGAGGGAGGGGACAGATGAAGAACTTTTTCTAATCAATTCAAAACATCTTTAAGTAAAGCAATTCATTGTATATATCACATACAGTAGTGCAACTTCAGAGTAATTTTAGGAGTTCTAAAAAAGTACCAAAAAACAGCCATATTGTCAATTCTTTACATAAAACTGTATAAATATAGGTATCAGTTAAGTATATAAGTTTTTGTGATTGCATGTACTTAAGCAGTCTGCCACAGTCTATGTTTTTAAATACTACCACTAGAGGGTGCTAAAGTTTAATACATTTCAAAATGCCATAGAGTGACATTAAAGTGATAGTTTGGGTTATTTGACGTGGGGTTGTGTGAGGTAGTCCTGCACAGTCAGTGTGTTACCTGCAGTATATTCAGATCAGTGCGCTGCCAGTTTAGAGAAGCAGCTGGGATCAATGGCACAGAAGCTGAGCGATGTGCTGCTGTGCACGGGGCCAGCAGAAAAAAACATGTTTTAGACAAAAGCCGCCTACAGAAACAATCCAATATCTGTTTAAATGTACGCTTAATTTAGAATATTTCCAGTGCTTCATCTTCTCGTCACCACAAAGTGAAGTTTAGCTCTTTCTGATTCACTCAGCTGACCTGCGACTGTGGCATAATACAGTTCACACTGTAGGTGCACTTGTGTGTAGGAATATGGCAGTTCAGCAGAACAATGTAGGACCAAAGGAAAGTGCTGTTTTGATGGGAAGATAATGACCTGAAAATATTCTACATGAAGCGTATATCTAACTGTTTCGGGGGCGTCTTTTAA